ACATTTTCTTAGTATTAAGGACTTTTATTTATGTTCTAGGTGCAACAAGTACTGAAAAGAACGTCAAAGAACACTGAGGATCGCTATAAAAGTACAATCAGGTTCGTTGTACCTTGTGTTTTCACTCGCCACAACACCCTAGAATAAGTTCGGACAACCAGGGGGGACCTCTCACAATGAGCCCGTTGGAAGAGTTTGACCAGTGGAGAAACCACTGGGTTTTCATCCCCAGTATTATCTCAGGGTCCTCACTAACCCACTAGGGGGAGTGATCTGTGGCGCCCCCCACTGCCCCAGAATCAATATCCTAGGGCTCGATGACATTCACCATTGATGATGACCTTCATGGTTTTAACAGACTCGTTAAGCTGAAGGCACCTAATCAAGCATCCTCGCCATTTGGCACGCTGTTGTGTTACGTTGAACTACTCGTAATCGATTCTCTAGGCAGTTAGTTGGAAGGCATCGGTATCTCGGTCAAACCTTTTAAATATACCACTCCATCCGACTACGCTATTGTGTTCTTTCTTGGTCTCGTATTCGTGAGTATACGACAAGTTCGAATAATTAGTGATTGGAATCAGCATCTGTCAAGTTCAGGGACAACCAAAGGAGGCGAACTCCAAAGCTTGCCATTCATTATGACGATCAGACCATCCAGCACAGAGTACACAACACCAGCAATATTCTCATCCTTTGCTGCGAATATTCTCCACCAACCCATGGAAGGATCGATTTCCGTCGGTAGAAGAATGAGTTTTTGTGATTGTGCAACCTCCTTCAGGCATCCTCCCACCCTTTTCAACTTTAACTTCGTAAGCCAGATGGTTATCAGACATTATAACTGTACACCGCACTTCTCGAGTCCCTGCCACTCCACGTAAAAACTACGGCTTAGTTGAGGGTAGTAGTGAAGTTAAACGTAGTAAGAAAGTGCATAAATTGTTGACACTTCAAAGCTGCATTGAACCAGCAGATTATGACACTCATACCGGTTTGTGGATTTCATGAGAGTTGGTTTAGTTCCTTTTCCTTAGGAATTGACTTCTTTGAGCCGTCTACCGTTCGGTGAAGAAAAAGCGTGGAAAAGGGGTACTGTTATGTGCAGACTTGTCTTCAAACGCCGGCGGTGCATTTGGAAGTATACTTCTATATAAGCACAGATATTTTCGTAATAGGTTTCCGAGGTTCATAGGAGTCAGGGTAGCCTCAGTAGAGAAATACAGTGGCAGTGGTCATATCTCTGTTGAAGCAGTTCACGAAGCACAAAAACAGATGTTTTGGGCAAGCACTGAATTGTCAATGCAGTGGTGAAGAATAGAATACGATGAAACTCCAGCTGCCCACTGGAGAGCCATCAAACCTCTTTTCAGTCGGGCCGAAACCTGTTCTGAACCACACAGTGCGTTCTGGCCAGGGCGGTCATATTTTAGTTGCTACACGAGCTGCAAAAATGAAGTCTTCTCATTACAGACGGTGTTTGAACACAAAATAAAACAACAATAATGAGAATTAACCTTTGCGAAAGAAAGACATCTGTCTCACCCTACTTCTTAATGAGTCCGCGAAAGCCCTTGGCAGGCTACCATCCAGCAGAAAAGGGCTTGCTCATGCGTTTGTTCAAGGGGACACTCTTCTCACTGTACATGGTCTTTATGTCATTTACCCCTTAGATAGCAGCTGTACCCTTCAGGGCGAGAAACAGGGTTTAAACGCACACCACTCTAATGGGTGGGAAGGACAAGAGTTTCGATGTGAATTAGTTTGCTGGGGGAGATCAGCAGGGAGCCTTCAATCAACTGACGTCCATCGAAGTGCACCGTGGTGAGCTTCTTAGCCTGGAAACCAGGTCACAAAAAGATGGATGGAACTCCGTCACTATTCAGGCCTAGAGAACATGAATCTGGTAGATCTCCACCTAGTCGCTGCCGCTGGCATCTTCACTACATCACTTAAAATTAAGTAGCCCTGAGATAAGTATGGGCAACACCTCAGTAGTGGAATTTCTCAAAGAAAATCACATGAAATATGAACACTCAGCCGAGTTAAAAATTGGATACCGGTATGTTAGTTCTCCAATTTTGGACTATTATAAACAGCCTAACAAAAATGGGCATCGTAACTAGCTCCTCAGCGGGTCAGTCTACACTTAGTAGATATTCTATCCCCTAAGGTTCATCCCAGATTGGGCTTATAAAGCCACGTGTATCTATAGATGTGCGAATCGAACCAGTTATATGAACAACCCTGAATCCCAATCACGGTAAATCAGTTTTAATTACATTCGTACCAAACAAGAGACATGCTTACTGCAATGACGGCCTTTTAAATAGTAGCCATCAGTACTTCAACTACTCATACATTCTTAATGCTCATTCGCTCGGCAGAAATCCACTCAATACAATCCTATGAGACACATCAACTAACAGATCAAACATAAAAGGCTAACAAGGACACGAGTTTCACGCACGTTTTTGCCTTTGCATCCTACCCTATCACAACCTCACTTGACGGTGACTGTCGGAGGTAGCCCGACAAACCACGGATACCTTTCGAGGGCAAACGCTGTATTCAGGACTAGTGACAAGGGATTACGAGTACTCACTAACAGTCAGTTTTTACCTTCAAATATGCACATGTATTTCATCCCTATGAAAGACCCAGAATCCTAGCTAGCCAGAATGCTCTTACCCGCGGCTTACACTCAATAAATTTGACTGGCTCTTAGATAATGACAAACCTATCCCGGACCAGTCTTTGATAAAATCTGAGCTTATCAGCGCATAACATCTCAATGAAATGTGCGCCTTTGAAACATGCTTAGAAGTATTCGCCATGGCAACCAAAATGTATGAATAAAACGGGTGATGACACGCTCATAAGAGTGGTTGGAGTATAAGAAGACATAGCATATGCTGTTACCAAGTTGACAAGTAAGTTCTTTCACATTCACAGCAGATGCTTATTCGTAGGGCGAAATGGCGATCAGTCGTACGAGCATAGGTAACCATGACAAGCTGCTCGATATCACTGAGGAAGCAAAGGGGAGTGGGGCAAAAAGAGGTCAGTCAGTACCTGGTAAAATCACTGCATATAGTGCTTTGCGTAGACCTATATGTCTGTCAACAAATGTCGCTCATAATGGTCTGATTATAGAGTAGTTATCCCGGTGGGAACAGCATCACTCAGTGAGAGGCACGTACATCAAGTTGACGAGTCCCATAAATGACGAAATGCTCATCCTGTATTCCACTGCTAGCCACCATCCATGTTGGCTATGATTAGAACACAGGTAATACCGAGGCATCCGCATAGGAGCCCATATGCCGATAGAGACCAGTCAATTCGGTTCAGTCAACGATGGTATAATACAGATAATAACACTACTCAATAGTAACAGTTTAAACTTGAGTTATTATTTGAGCAGATTGCGTAGAAGATGCGTAAGAAAGCAGTATTTAGCATTGTACTCTGAAAATTCGATGGAATGAAGAACAAAAGCCAATGAAGTTGCCAGTGAGAAAATAGGAAGTGCTTACGCAAAGGTTGGATTGGGTAACGGTTCCGTTAAAATCGTATGACATCAGGTTTTACTGTTTCATACACCGTCAACACTAAAGCCGGTAGTCAGGATCAGCCCACTACTGGTTTCATTGGGGAACCTGACGTGAAAGTCAGTAAGGAATGCACAACCCTCAAAGCATATTCTCCCATGAAGTTACTCAGGGTGGTCGTAGTTAGTCTTCAACCAATCCTTTACACTGATGTCCTCAAATCTGTTTTCTGGTTCTTGGCCATTTGAGTGATGTTAAGGTACAAACAGCTGCAATATAGGAAATGTACTCGTTATGAAGCTCACAGATGGGAGGATACAACTTGCAAATATGTCAGTCACCAGAAGCGGATTTGAATAGGAGCAAAGAAGTGTATCTTAGGGGTTATGAATGACGTATCTAAAGGTAGGCAGGAGAGATACATCACTGGACACACGGTTACTGCAGACTGGAGAAAGAGGCGTTTTGAAGAGGATAGCTCACAAAAAAGCACACCAAGTTATAGTCTTTCTTCCCCACCTCTTGATCATGGGGTATGGATTAAATCATCTGACAGCATAGCGAAACATGAACTAACTCACGACTTTAGGAAGATAGTTGGTAACCACGAATCGTTGCATGAATTACCTAAATCACGTTGAAGGCAGACTAAGTTGGATGAACACGTGGATTTCATGGCTACTTTCCCAATGCTAATTCGCCGCCAATCACTTCCCCAACTCGTTTGACTGGCCTGAATGAATGCCGGTTGGTATCATGACGGTTAATGTCAACAAGTTTACCGTTATTAGGAAAATTACATAACTTTCTACGAGCTCAGCAGACACGCAACTGCCCACTGTGGGGTTTCAGACGTGCGACGTGTTACCGATGGGGCCCGGATAGTCGCAATCTACATGAGGTGGTGAGCTACCTTTTGACATACAAAATAAATTGAGAAGAAATGAAAATATCTGTACTAGCTTGTCGCAGTGGTGGTGGATACTGAAGTGACACATACAATCAAGCAGCGGAAGAACTGGAAACCAAACTCCATGCCTGAAAAAAGACTTGAAAGTGCCAACCACTCCAACTGCTTCGTTAAATATGCCTTTTGTCATATCTAGTGCCTGGTTTGTTTAAGCTTTCTAAAGTATGTAACTGATAGCCTTCAACCTCCAGGCGCTTTTTGGAACCGGCATAATTAATCTTGTGGTATGCCCCCCAAGGAGTAGACTTATGATCGATAATAGGAAAATATCCATCAAAATCACCGGCCCTTCATGCACAGTTATTTCTGAAAAGACGGTCTTAACAGTCGGTCGTAAAAGTGACATTCCTGTTGATGTGTGCCTCGATCATTCTGAATGCGTATCCCGCAAACATCTGGAGATTCACAGGAAAAACAGAGACGTCTACCTCAGATGTCTCAGCAAAAATGGGATATTTATCGATGGATTGTTTCATATGAACAGACCAGACTTTGTCCTTTTAGCCGATGGGTAAGTCATGTGAACATCTAAAAACTCTTCATATATCACTCTTTAGATGTAAACTAAGGTTTCCCAGTACTAATATAGTGCTTATCGTTGAGGTGGTTGAGCCAGAGTCTTTCTGCCACCCCAAAAAGCGGGCCTTCTGGCGATCTTCACATGATATTGCCAGTCTTGGAGAGCATACATCGGGTTTTAGTGACCAAAGTGATCGGTGAGTCACATTTCTAGCACCTTGCTCCTGTAAAGTTTTACCCACCCTACATTTGTTGATGCCTTCCGAAAATTGGTCAGTGGTTTGATCGAGAAATTTCAGGACAACCTGTATTTGGGCTCACTCGAAAGCCTTAGGTTGGGTACACGATCCTTTGTAACTTTGAGCTTGTTAGATATTGTGGAGGAGCCAATTTCGACAGACGTCCAGTTTATCGGGAAACTTGTCTGGTCACTTTGTGGTTCACGGTCCAACTTTGAGTTTTCTACTCGACCACATTTAAGTGTATGCACTAAGCATCTTTTCACATTTACTGTTTTTTGGTATGGATACTAATTGGTTTCGTGTTTGATCTCGCAACTTATTCATTGGAAATAGGTTCCATGAATCACAGTTTCACCAAGGCGGATTAGGATATAATCCATATTGACCACTTTCAGACAAGTTAATCTCCCATAGTGTATTCACTCACAAATTATTGGAATTCTTGCTTTGGGTGAGTGAACCAGAGAACCACTTACCATCGTGGAGTTGTGACTCACTGGTCTAGGCAGCTGACTTTCAACCAGTGGGGTACGGGTTTGAAGTCTGCTTCTTACCGAGATCCAGGCAACCGGGTAGTATAAACAGCCCTCGCATAGTCAGCGTTGTTCATTGTCTACTACGAGAACATGTACCTTGGCGAGAATATGGTGTGCGTGCTTACCACCCTTTCAGGATCCAACTTCATGAGCAACTGCAGAGCAATGTCATTGGAAAATTTTCCTGGATAAGATAACGTATTATGTGACCACGTATCACTGTAATTAGACTCTGTGATAAGCGTCACTCATTCCACTGCTGTGATTAACGCACTTGGTTATCCTACCCTGGTTGCTAGTTTTGAATGAAACAGCAGACTTCTTGTATATGGATCAAAATCTGCTGGTAAAGTTCTTCAACTTTGTAGCAAGGATTTTCCAAAAAACAGTCATTAACACAATGCCGTAAATATCTGGTCCTATGCTGAAATTGATGGCGATGACGAAACTTAATCCTTCGTTTATATTTCTCCCTGCTCGTATAACTGGTTTGCAACATATTTAGCGGTAAGACGAAGTATTCTATGCTTTTGACCCAGATAAATCAAAGGGCGAAAGTCAATCATCGTAAAAATTGTAGCTCGCGATTCCATGTGTTTAGTGCAGACCATTTATTAACGGGTTTACATATGCTGACACAGGTAGTTAGTGTCACTAAAACTAGTCCCTACCTTGAGGTGGTATTCATCACAAACAGATGGAGAACCATTGGAGATCTGGGAGCACTGGACAGCTGTTTCGTCCTAGCATAGGACTTCTGAGGAGTGCGAACCCACGACCTGGCTAGGGACATCATTAGCTGTCCAGTGCTCCCAGGTATTCGATGGTTCTCTATCTGATATTAGTCCGTTCTAAATTTGTTTAGTGCTAAGCCGTTTTCTTTCTCTTCATTGCATGGTGGTTTTATTTGATGATCAAAGTTTTGAAGGCTCTATATTTCGGTAGGCTACTTCTTAGTGATTCCGTTTGTGGTGTTTGGTGAAGCAAAGCATAAGTCCGATTTTTTTTCAGCTCGTGTGGTTTTGATGTTTTTACGCTTCGATATCCAATTTCACAGTTATTCTTCTTGCCTTCGTCATTTAAGGGGCTACATATGGCTGCAGTTTTCTGTTTGACCACTTGAGTTTATTCATCCCATGGTGATCTTATAACCGGATTCTGCCTTCACGTCGTTTAGGATTCTGCTGAAGGAGTTTGCTTTTCTTCATTGTCTAGCAAGTTTTTCGAGCACGAAGAATTGGACTGACAATTCGGACAAATTTGTAATTGCAGCCTTTTTCATGCATTGAGGTATGGAATGGACGTCTGCACGAATATTTATTCTTTGCGCTAGCTTAGATAAGTCAGCAGTCAATCTTTTCCTTGTCATTCGTCTCATTGACCATATGAGTGTGGATACGTTTTCAATTTTCCTAGTGCTAAAATGCAGTTAATGGGATTTTGGCGTGATTGTTTAATCTCTTCTTCCACAGTAAACTAAGTAGCATATTTTTGTTCCAGAAAGTTAAATTTAATAGTGATTGGATGAATACTGAAATTGTTCACTGTATCTACTCGAAGACATCTCAGTCGTACAATTGTCTTTAAACATGACTTATAGATTCACAAACGACAGTTCGACGTGGTAGCCAAAATTTCATGTTTTAAGTCCCAAATGAAATAACATGTTGGTTAGCTAGTTCACTAGTTATTAGCCTGTCCTAAGCCCGGATAAAGAGGCAAGGTTGGGCATATGGCTAGCAACCCTACCCCTTAAAACAAATCCAACCGCCAAAGAGACTTCAAAGCACAGTCAGAATATGAAAAATAAAAACAAACTTATTCCTCGCTGGAATCGGAAAGACGAAATAACGCCGTTTGGTGAGAGAAGCCAGTTGGCCGATGTGTCTTCTCTCACTCGATGAAAGCGAAAGTAAACGTGGGTACATGGAATGTCCGCACCATGTTTGAACCCAGCAAGGCAGCCCAGATTGCAAACGAGATAAGAAGATATCACATCGAAGTGTCAAGAATTTGCGAAAGCAGATGGAATGGAAGTGGACTCTTCAAACTGTCAACTGGATAATCAATAATCTACTCCGGTCACCCAGACAACAACCATGAGCGCACTGTGTTTTGGGGTGGCTGTCATGATGTCACCAACAGCATCGAAGGCTCTCATACAGTGGGAACCGATCTCCTCCAGGATCATGACAGCAAAATTCAACTCAAAATGAAGGAAGGTCACAATCATACAATGCTACTCTACGCGCCTACAAATAATACAGACACAGACCAAGAGAAGAAGGAGGAATTCTATAACAACTGCAATCAACACTGGACAAGACCCTGTCCCAGTTGGCGACATCAAAATTCGAATGGGTGGAGCGACATAAATGCCAAACTGGGAGGGGACAACACAGGAAGAGAACTAACCATGGGTCGAGAAGCACTCGGTGACGTGATGAACGAGAATGGAGAATTGTTTGCAGATTTCTGCGCATTCAACGATTTGGTGATTGGAGGCAGTGTGTACAAACACAGGGGTATTCACAAAGTGACGTGGATTTGATTTCACTAGATGGACACACTACACTAAAAATCAGATCGACTTCATCTCAATATGAAGAAAGTGGAGATGCAGTTTACTGGACACAGGATCAAGTAGGGGAGCAGATGTAGGTTCAGACCACTCACTATCTAGTGCGAAGAGCCTACCTTCAAAGAAGTTGGTGATAGACCACAGTTCAAGCTCAACATCCAGAAACTGACGGACGAAACTACAAGGGACATCTACATGCCAGTCATCAGGACAAAATGGGAGATATTGAGCAACATCCCTGAAGAAACCTGTGTGGGAGAACACTGGAACTCTTTGAAAGAGATGTGGAAAGAAACCTGCATAACCGTATTAGGAAGAAAGAAGATAAGGAATGGAATGGGTCTCGATGGACACATGGAAGCTGATAGAGGAGGGTGAGGAAGATGGTGAGGCAGAAGATGAAGCAATGCAGTGCAGGGATGAACAACGAAAAGAGGAACTGAGTACGACCTATAAAACACTACACAGGACAAAGAAGTGAATAAGAGGGCGCGGAAAGACAAAAGACACTTCTACGACATACCTGCAAGTGAAGCAGAACAGGCTGCAGGTAGGAGAGACCTGACAACATTATATCAAATAACCGAGTTACTATCTGGGAAGAAATCAACTCAGATGAGACCGATGAAAGATAGGAAAGGAAACTTAGTTACCGCCAAAGAGGAGAAACAATGGGCAGATCACCACCTGCAACTCGTCCAGAAAAACCACATGCAACCACAGAATTACCAGTGAACCCAAGCCCTCCGACTAAAGCTGGAGTCGTGAACGTCATAAAGTTGCTGAACTCTGGGGAAGCAGCAGGATCAGATGGAATTCCTCCAGAAGCACTGAAAATAGACGCAGAGACAACAGCGGACATGCTCACATCACTCTTGCAGAAGGCTTGGAAGGAAGAAAAGGTATCTGCAGATTAAAAGAAGGGCGACCTAAGTTTTCGCAAGAACTGGCGCGGAATCATGCTCAAATTGCAACGCTACGCATCATCACAGAACAGAGCATAGAATGCCAGTCAACTCTCTACCTCAACTTTATCGACTTTGTAAAGGCTTTCGACAGTGTCAACCGTGAATTAATTTGGTAGGCAGCTGCTTCAACACTACGGAATACCAAAACCCTTTATCAACCTCATTCAACAGCTGTATGATGATGATGCTACATGCCAAGTGATTCACAATGGAAAGCTCAGTGACGTATTTGAAGTGGAGACAGGAGTAAGAAAGGCTGCCGCCTACTACCCATGATCTTCCTGATTGAGGTCGACTGGATCATGCAGCAAATAACTGTGAGGAGCGAGAAGATGGGCATACGCTGGACTGATGAAGAGAGCCTGGAAGATTTGGATTTCGCTGATGATCTATGTTTAATGTCGCACAAACTCGAAGATCTACAAGGAAAAACCAACAAGTTGGCAAAAGAGGCAAGGCCAAGAAGACGGGACCTCAGGTGAACGTAGAAAAGGCAGAGGTAATGAAGATACCCAACAACAAGCACCAATCACCATCAACGGGAGAAACTCAAAGAAAGTAGTCTCGTTCACCTACCTAGGCAGCATCGTTTCAGCTACAGGCGGCACAGGCACAGATGAGAACGTCAAAGCCAGGATCGAAAACACAGCAAGACAGGCCTTCATTAACCTGAAATCATCGTGGAGATCTACTGCAGTCAGCTTAAAGCGTGAACAAGATCCGGCTTTTTAACACTAATGTGAATCAAGTCACTGCTTCTATGTGATGATTGAGAGAGTTTGGGCTTTACGGAAAGCATTTCCAACAAACTACAGACATTCATCAACATGTGTCTACGCTCGATACTGAAGATCAGATGTCCAAAATAATAAAAATAAACAACAAGGAACCCACTCTGTCAACGAACCAACCAAGAACCCATCACCCACCAAATATACAGAAAAAAGTGGAGATGGATCAGGCATACACTGAGAATACCGTTTGGGGACATCACGCGCCAGGCCTTTGAGTGGGATCCAAAGGGGAAACGACGAGTTGGATGTCCGAGAGTGACATGGAGGAGATCATGTGAGGAAGAAATGAAAGCTTATGGGCAGTTTTGGAGCCAGGTTCAGAAGACTGTAGAGAACAGAGTGCAATGGAGACGTGTTACCGAAGCCTTTTGTTCCACTAGGAACCTAAGGGACAAATAATAATAATAAACGTAACGTTACGTATGGAAACACAAACAATAGTCTTTAGTTTCTACCATTGATTGTCTCTCAATTCCTCAGGAAACAGAATAAGAGGTAAGACAAGTCAGGCATATCACAAAGTCAAAACATTCTAGATACGATGGTGTGCATATATTTCGAATGATCTTGACCATTCAAGGCATTTCTTTCAGGAAATTCTCTATTATTTGCCTCTGTAACGAGTTTAGTAATTACATGCATACTCACGTGTTTTTTCTCGATTGGTTGTGGAAGATGCCAGCAATTTCAACCTCTTTTTAAGATTATGGAGAAATGTTTACCCGTCATAACAGTAGTATCTTTGAACCAGTGCCTAACCTGTCTGTGGCTGCTTTGACTTTTTCCAAAATCCTCGTAACCTTTCTATTAAGGATTGTCGGACCTCAGTTCCAACTGGAGTGACTATGACCACGCTTTCTGGTTAGATAGCGATTTTGTATCAATAAGTCTTAAACGCAGCAGTTAACAAAATTATCTGTAGGTTGATACTGTACTTTTATCTGTCATATTGAAAATTACGTAACTGAATGAACTTTTCTAACATTAGATTTTATTCCAGATTACTTTCTTCTTTAATCTATACACAAGAAACTAAGTTTTTATCCAAGCTGTTTATTTATCGGAAAAGGCCTAACCATTTTCTTTCTTCTTATCGGTACCGTGTAGAAACGTAAAGGAAGCAGTCATTCCATCGGCTTTGAAAACTAAAGGTTCCGAAGAAATCTCTTACTGTGATACCGTTGATCCTTTGACTGCTGTCCGAGACGAAGATGTTACTGCATGTTATAAAGCAAAGACAGATGAACAGAGTGGTATTTCGACTTCATATTGCGAAAGTCTTCGTTCATGTTCACAGGGGTTTCAGGATGCCTCTACCTCAAATAGTACCCATTTACCTATTGAGCCATTATTTGTACAAACAGATAACAACCTTAGTGTTCCACCTATTACAGTAGCGACGAAAGTCTTACAGAATTTAATACAAAATGACAATCAAACCGCATCCTTGAATGTAAATGGCGAACCCATATTACAAAACGGAAATTTTGATCTTGCTACAAAAATGAATCATATCGCAAGAATGTTAGCTTTTAACTCAATCGCCCAGTTATCGGAGTTCGGTGCACATAATAGAAGCACTTCAGCAATACCTAATATAACGAATTTCCCTATCAGTCAGTTTCTTGACCCCAGTTATGCTGAAACTAGTAAGTTTAACAAATCACTCTTCATAATTAAATGTTTAGTATTCTGTTATTCTCGATTTAAAAATAAAAAAGACGTTTCCATAGTTATAAATGCATAAGTTAGCAATATAAGCTTAAAGCGTGACAACTAGCGTATAATATCCACTAACTAGTCCATTTTAGAGGATTTTGCATAGGTATTTTGAATGCTTTCAAATGTAGAATATCTATTTCATGTCTAACTAAAATATGCAAATCTTATGCAGTTTTACTATTTTTACAGTATGTTCAAAATTGCCGTCTAAGCTACTTGGGAAACATTAGCTTGCCATGAGAGATTTAAATTAAGCAGAGCCTTTTTACCCTTAACATCAGAATCAGCCATATTCTTGTAGGTTTTTCAGTTTTCATACTGGTATCACTTACTTTTAATGCTAGTTTACTTGCCTCTTGGGTAGTTTCATCTTATGTTAAGAGATATACAACTGCCGTATACGTAGATGCAATTTTACTTCTCGAAGTTAAGTCTAGGATTGCACTAGTTAAAGTAATGAGTGTCCAGTAATAATGTTAGGTCGATAAACAGGTTAGAGGTTCTAATCATTAAATGGTGAAAGTAAGGTTTAATATCGTTTACTGCCAAGTTATGGTGACAAACGACAAAACAACCAGGTTATGCATGAGTCATAAGGCTGTATGTCGAATGTGTTCGCTGCATAGTTTACTTCATGGTATTGATTATTAAAAGTGCCTTGAAATGCCCTTTTAGTCAGGTCATACCATGACACCTAACTAAAAGTTTGAGTTCTGTCAAGAAACTAGACTGGGCAAAAGTTAATGCTAATAGCACTTTTTCCCTAACTTGTTCTAAAAACTCAACATATGTCTATTCGCATTTCAATTATCCCACCGCTTTAGTACTACTAAATGAATCATTAGTTAAATCATTGTAGTAGGGTTTCACTCAGTCACTTGGAATCAAGACAACTGTCAGCTCCAGCTCCCCTCGATCTTTAGTGTTTGGTGCCACTAATTAAAGGACTATATGCTATTCTTATGTCATCATGGATTTAGAACTCTGTGGTTTGTGAATTTGGTTACTAACTATTAGTCCACAGTTTCAAGATCATTCCACTTGATTTGGTCGGAGTAACCATAGGTCCCTACATATTGGGTGTCTCGTAAAGTTCTACTTAAATTTATGTGAAGCCGCTTAAGAGAATTTTATGCGCTTACCTTGTAGAGCAAATATCATTTGGCACAGTGTCTTATACTTAAACATTTGTTAGTGCATTTTTACATGCGATCGATCATAAATAAGAGCAATGATTCTCAAAAACGTGCTCTCTCACTATTCTTGACAAGTTTCATGCTAAGATTTTAGAAGTTTATTCAACTAATAATTATTTATGTGGGATCAATATCCTTTTTTGGTCAGTAAATTGTATACTAACTGCAGTAACATTAATCTGGTCAGATCAAACTACGGTCCCAAAACATAAAACTGTTGACCGTTGCTCCTTGGCGTGCAGACTTTTTATCTGGAGCACTCAAGCTATCAGTAATTTATGGGTTCTTATTCGGAATGGTATTGCTTAAAATTTACTACAGTGACATATGCCTGCACTCAAATTTTTGAGTACTGAATATTCTATCCTTCAATATTTATTTCTCTCCTCTCACTTATTATACGTTTCTGTTATTTAATGCTGTGAAGTGTAGTAGCCTCAGCCAATGAATTTCTTTTGCAAAGTTATACCTTTTGCTTGTTCATCTGCTTGACGAATGACTGACCGGTAATCAGTGTATAGTCTTCTGGTATACCCTAGGGGGATTTCTTCAGGAATCCTATACTTTTAAGTCGTATCACAAAATGACGTTAGCACTCTTTCTGCAAACAAAACCTGACAACGAAAACCTAGTGTTGGATGTGCTATTTATCATACATGCAAGAATATCTAAACATCTAGTTGTAGACTAAATCTTTCTGACCAATGTTTACCAGCTTTTACGTCACCAACGTTGATAATTTATCCGTTCACAGTCTTAATTCAAGCATGATCGCGATTATTGTATTGTGCTACTTGTGTGACCTTAAGACTGTACATTTGCCAAAAAATCTGCACATCACAATCTGTCCTTGCTAAGCACAGCATCTAACATATGTTGGAACCAGCAGGTTGGAAGTAAAACTTGATCAACTAGAAAACTGTACCATATTTTTTCCGTTCTTAACAATGTACTCATCTGCTTATCTCCAACTCATTTCTATGTATAATTAAGAGTCCGTTAAAGTCACTGTAAATCATTAAGTGCAATTCGCATATGGACGTGTTCGTGATTACCAGATTGTATTACTTTTTCAGATAACTCGAGCGCGAATGCACGTATTTTGAAATTATCAAATCCAAGCTAGTATTTCTTGAATAGACTGTATGGACATTCTTTGTTATACTCAAGTGAAAATTGATTAAAAGCGTTGACCACCTGTAATTCTGAGAATTCTATCACTTTTATAGGCGAATAAGTTTCTTGGTTATCTGCAAAAAACTTTATGACTAAGCTAAGAATGTTAAGGTTAGGTATAAACTACTGAATGAACGTGATAAAGTCGCACCTGCCTAGATTTTTCGACGTGGGTTGTACATGCTAAGCTAATACCTACTTTTAAGTCCGATAATAATTGAAATAAAAATAAGATGGAATAGGCCTTTGAATGATTGGGTCTAGACATGATATCACTTCATGAAATCTAACTGTTGACCTGAACTGTGTAGAAAGGTTCAGGCTGTTTGTATGCAGTCCTTGATAAAAGATAAAGCTGGGAATCGACCACAGTGCATAAGCCTACTTTATGGACCTGTCAGCAACCTTCACTTACTTGTTCTCTCTTCTATATCCTTTTTCTAGATAATATCTTCCTATTTCTTCGTGTTTCTTTTTTCTGAGCTATTTGAAGTATGGTAACTTGATCTAATGTAGTTTTGTTTTAGATTCTATGTCAGCATTTTTTCTGACACTGGTGTGCTTCACTAACACAGTACAACCTGGCATAACTGCACCTTGTCATTCATACCAGCTTAGCAAGGAGAAAATGGAAATATTGATATTTACAGTGGTAAAGAGACTCGACAAAGAAGGAGACCAAAATAGTCAGAGGTGTAAAAGGTGTCGAGGGATACGTTTCACAAAAGAGAGATCTAATGTGGATAGACTTGTGGTGCTTCAGATAAGTTTGATCCGTGTTGACTAAAGTCTGGTTTATTTTATGATCTCGAAACCAGTAAATGAAACAGTAGTGTTTTCTGTAACCAACTGATTGGAAATTAAGTGTTTGAAGCAATAAGTGAGTTTTCAAGTACGTCTGCATATTTACGATTTTTAGGTTAGTGATCGATGGATATACGTAACATAACCCCAACCACTTCAGTCTATGAAATTGTACAGCTTCATCAGCTGTTTCACTTCTATCTTTAGTGGCTATGTTTCACAATCATGCAGCAGGATAGGGGACAGCACACTCGGTCCTTAACAGATATTTGGCCATCTTACAGTTACCACAATTGATGTAATTTAGTGTAAATTAGTCGAATCTTATCCGTGCCCAATCTATCAGAGTCCACGTGATCTTCCAGGTAAATTGAATAGTCAGCGCGTTCAGTCGCTTTACTCAATATTGTCATGTTAGTCAGTGTTGAAGTAACAATTCGAAGTGAAAAATGCATCCCATAAAAATTCTACATTGTAGCTCATGGTGTTCAGATGACTGTTTTTAAACGTCTTTGCATAACAAGACTATGTCTATGTACCATAAGTTGATTAAAGGTTCTTAAGCGAAAGAGATCAAGGCCTGTGAAGCCAAGAAAATAAATTATCATTCTTATAAGTATACTTGCGACAAGATTATGTGAGAAAAATGGGAGTGGAAAGCCTTCGAGGCTTATCACCCACAGCTATTTTACTACTTTTAGCCCGATCACTAGTATTCGAGTAGGGATGCCGTAATTAATATGATACACTTGCCACCAATTCCTTTGTTGAATAGAATTAGAGTTGAGTGTTTATTTGTGAGGTTCATATGTAGATTTAGCTTAACACGAAATTTCTACCGATATAAATTTAATCAGCTCTAACACAAATGTATTCCTTTTCACTTCACAGATTACAGCTCACTTGACCGTAGTCTTTCAGATCCAGTGATAAATCCCGTCAAGCCTCCGAATACCTCTGAACTTCATTTATCGACAAAGTCTAAAATGTATGAACAAAATCCTCCAGAGGTGGATGATTTAGATGATACTACAGATTCAAGTGTTGCTGTACTTCATCAGGATGATTTGTCCCATTTTGGTAATAATGATAACACTATTGATGGTCATGGTCAAGAAAGTGAATCAAACATCAATAAATTAGCTGCAAATTTGGCTTCAACTACAGCAATAGATCGAGGTTCCGCATTTCGTAAACCCCCTTATTCCTATGCTCAATTAATTATACAAGCTATTGCATCAGCACCGAATCAACGTCTAACTTTAGCTGATATCTATGCACATATTTCACGAACATTTCCATATTATAAACCTAATGAAAAGGGTTGGCAGGTAGGTAATACCTTTATCAAATGAAATTTTTTTTTTGTTTATGGTTACGTTTGAATGGAGATAGATTAAATCCTCTTTGTTGGTTTCTTAATATTATCCTGTTTGTGTTTAACTTACCTTTTTGTACTATTTCAATTGTTTTGTCGGTTGTATTGGAACATAGTTGTGATAAGTCTTATATTTTCTATCCGTCACATTTTCCTTCCAATCGACCCTCAATTTTGTCTTCTCTCTGTGTGTCTTTCCTAATAGATAGTTTACAGTCATTACTTTGTTTTTTCATCTATTTAGATACACGATGATGTATTTTAATGCACAGATAGGTGGTGATAAATCCTTTTCAAAGTATATTTACCTACTCAAACCATACCGAGTATTATGAGTTCATCTTTGATAGAAATTCCTCAGTTTTTATCAGAGAATATCAAAATTATTAGAAGCATTAGAATGTACTGTATTCTAGAGTTTACCTTCTTTTATCAACATTAAGTTAGTCCCTATCACAGACTGATATCAACTGGAGAACCGTTGGAAATTTGGTAGTTCTGGACATGTGTTTTATCATTGTTTAGGAATCTTTAGCAGTGTACAACCACAAACTTAAAGTTTTGCAATTATTCTTCAAGTGATACCACTCCGTAACAAAACCTTGTATTTTCTGTTTGCTGGTTACATATCTTTTTCAACTGTTCTTTTTTGTTACATTCAACACTTTTCAGTAAGATTGTGTTGTCTCATTTCTTTTTGTTTTAGTTCATTTAGAACAGTATAGAATAGTGTCAATACTATAAACAAAATGTTGCACAGATCAATGGGAACTAATTTCCATGACAAACTCGAGAAATGTATTTATACAGAAGTTTAGAACCTTTATAAAAAGTCCACCGATATAAGTAATGCGGAGAAAAGAACGAATTAGTAGCGTTACGGAGCCTTCAAGATAAAGACTGGAAAAGTCTATTTTCTTGTTACCTGCTATGAATTACATCACATAGGTGCATTGTGGAGATGTGACTCACTGGTTTAAGCAGTTGATATTCACTTGGTAAATCATGGGTTCGAACTCTATCCCACCTACTGAGGGGGGAGGGCAGTCAGGTAATATCACTTGCCCTCATACAATAAGTGTGTCACTGCTTACGACACGAATTTTGCACAAGGTTATCGATTGCATTCCGATTCATTGTTTTTCTGTAATTACATTATGCATTCATTCACAATATCTTTCTTTTCGTCTGAATTTCTTTTGTCCCTACTGATTATTCATGTCTTAATGTTTCACAGAATTCAATACGTCACAATTTATCATTGAATCGTTATTTTATACGTGTACCACGCTCTCACTCTGAACCTGGTAAAGGTGCATTTTGGCAATTGGATCCTTATTGTGAAACATGTTTAATTAGTCAAGCGTTTCGTAAACGCCGTCAAACGTCGTCGAAATCGTCGTCTTCATCTGCTGATTTAAATCTACATAGTAATAATAATAATCAGTATGATGATGAAGGGGAAGAACTGATTGCCAATGATAATGTGCTTACTACTACTACTACTACTACTAATAATAATAATAATAATAATAATAATAATAATAATTCTGCTAATATTGATGATGATAGTTCCGCATTTCTTCTCCCTACACAATCTCCAAATGATAGTAATATGTGTTTTAATCAAACCATAAAAAACTCATCACATACAAATAGTCATCTATCAAATGATATGCATCGTGTTAACGGAAGTTTTTCAAATACACTTTCGTCATCATCACCATGTGCCTTTGTACAAGTTAATTGTCTACAATCTACACAGAATTCACAGTCTTCATCGCATACTTCGTTGGGTTTACCGTCTACATCAAAGTTGTCATCCTCACCATCAACTTCGATGTTTTCAGGCATTGATCAACACCATCAACGTATCTACCAATCCACTTCAACACTACACAAATCAGAGAAACCATCATCAGCACTAGTCACTGTAGCAAATGAAGAGCTTTCCATTGTCAATGGGTAAATATTCCATTATCATTATTACATATTTCTTACTTATGAAATAATATGCTTATTTTCAGTATTTATTGGAACAACACTCACTGGGAGGCAGGTACATCCAGCTGACAAGTCCCAAGTAGGACGAAACGCGCGTCAAACTGGATTCCAGTGCTAGCCACTATCCATCATTAATATTGAGAGTAAACATTGATATAATTCAATGTTTTATTTAATAGGAGTTGTTTTGACTGTGTATTCTTTTTTTCCAGCCAGTAGGTAATAGGTTCGACCCCCGTCCTCTCCGTCTAACGTGGTTTGAACAATCAGATAGTATGACAAGCTGTCATATAGTGGGTGTAAGTCATTGTCTCATCCATGAAACTGCACATGGTTGGTGAGCTCGATTACTGCATTATATGCTTTTCTTTATAATTGCATACATTATTGTTGTACTGTACGCATAACTGTCATGGAAATAATAAAAAAACAGCTCAAATCCAACAACACAAAATTCATTCGTTCAGTGAACAGGATTTTTAAAACGGGGAAAGGGGAGTTGATTCGTTTGAATGGCTTACTTAACACTTCGACATTCTTCTTTCTTTTTTAGTCGGACAATGTATATATGAATCTAAATTTCTGATCATTATCAACTATTATTACATTACAGACTCAATTTTAATCTACTTGTTTCCGTTTAGGTAGTTGAACAGTAGTGTTAGTAGCCATGTAGGTATGCATGGCTTGGAATTTCATGATGTGAACACAGTATACACATTCATCTAAGACAAAATCATATACTTATTACAGATTTAGCTGAAATCTGAACTAATGTATAAGATTGATTAATGACTTTCATTTGACTATTTGAGGTAGCCGTAGTTTGACAGACTAGTATTGATATTGGGTGATGATTGGAGGTGAAATGAAAATTTAAACTGCAGCCGGGTTCGAACCAGCGACCACTGGGTTTTCGGCCTGACGCTCTACCAACTGACCTTCGAGGTCCGACTGCTGACCAGATTTTTATTTCACTTCAATCACCAGTGATTTGTTTATTTTGGGAAAACGAATAATGGTTCCAAGCAATCTACTCTCGTTATTCTTTTTTTTTCGCCAAACAATTTACAGTACTTCAACACTGACTAGTTTCTCTGTTGGGTGAATTAAAAGGCCGCTCTGGAAACCACTGATATAACCAGCTAAGTTTCTTGATTTCGATTAGAAAGGTAGTTCTATCATGAAATAAAGAAACCCAGTCAGTTATTTCACTAGTTGCTAAGATGGCTTTTGGAGTCACTCTATTTCGATACAAATCTCTTCAATTTCTCTTTCTTTACCGACGCTTACTTTAATCTGCTTGGTTGTGACTAGCAAAGAAATCCAGGAAAGGCATTTCGTCCAATGTGGGACTCGCCAGCCGGATGTACCTGCACCTCAATAAGTGTTGTTCCTGCTGAGACTTTGACCTCGTACCCATCGCTCCAAACTCCAGAGCGTTATCCACTAGACCTCTAAGGCAGGATAGCCACCTCTTGTACAACGGATGTTTGTTATTACAATTTTTTGATATACTTTTGGTTCTCTGTTGTTATACTGGATTGAATTGTTCAACCTCAGTGACCTATTGGATAACACTGGCGTTTGGAGCGATGGGTACGAGGTCCAAATCTCAGGGGGAATAACACCACTCACTGAGGTGCAGGTATATTCAGCTCACGTTTCCCAAATGGGACGAAACTTACGTCCTGGATTTCTCTGCTAGCCACGACCAAGTAAAGTATCATGATAAATATTCGGAAAATATCGAGGCATCCGCATAGAAGCCTATATATCATTAGAGGCCGAACAATTCGATCCAGTATAACAACGGAGAATCAACAAATAGTCAGTGCACGAACAGTTGCGGTACACACGTCTAATTCTTTGATATTAGTTTATTTTGTATTCACCCGCATTTAATGTTGGTCAGAATTACTTGTAATACATGTGCTTTGTAGCTGTTTCTCTCAGCTCAGCCGGCGGACCGGCAGGCCACAAACCTACAGGTCCATATGGATTACTAACAGTATTCATCACTGGCATAGTCATTATCACAATTAATATTGTGTTGTATGGTTTTGTTACTATTATTATTGCTGTCCTTAAATGACCTCGGTGCATTTCATAATATGCAGGGTTGTGATCACATACAGTTCTGGCTTCTGTTTACTACATATCGCCATCTCTGTACCTGTTTTTATGTTAGTTTGTGTATGTGTATGTGCGTGTCTCTATGCACAGTCGTACTCCTTGGCCATTGTGTTCAGTAATCTGATCATCTTGTAATTTATCCAGAGTGCATGTGTTGTATGTAACATTGTTTACTTGTTTATTTATCTGGTTACTTGTTTATTCCTTCATTTGTTCCTATTTTGCTTCATAGAAATTTGTTTTTCACCTTTGATAAGTAGAAGTAGAAACAATGTAGATAGTGATAGTATAATATTGTTATATTATATTATTATAGCAATAATAATCATACCCATAATCTGTGCAGTCTTATGATATGCGTTTACTCGTTTCCAGGTCAACTTATACACCTTCGTGTACAAGAGAAATATAGGATCTTGGTTGTATTGTGTTCTGTGAGCTGAAGATAGTGCTGATGATGTCGTCTAGAAAGACGATGAAAGCTTCATGATTAAACAACCCAGCTCAGAGAACACAATACAACCAAGACTATCTACCTGAACTACAAATATTCTCCACTATTTCAAAAGAAACAGGGATATATGTGAAGAAAGGACATTTTAATCTATTTATTATAAATGTCACACAGTGAAGAAACAGTGTCATTTACTAGATAACGTTTCGGGTACAATTTATTGTCCATATTCATATTAGGTAACTCCACAACTTCCAGACAGAGTTTATATATTCCTAATTTTCTCTCCTCTGTGATGACAAGAGCAGTAGAATTTTCCATATATCTGGGTCAGGTGCAGAATCATTTCGATTGCATGTGTGTTTGGTGTTGATTCGATAAACAAAGATTCGGTTATCACTCTCTCTATCTCTCTCCCTCTCTCTCTCTCCACCCGACTAAGTTTCCAACCAACCAAATTATCATAATTAACATTCAGGCAATATCGAGGCATCCGCATAGGAGCCCATATGCCAATAGAGGTCGAATAAACAGCGCAGAATAACAAGTATGTCAATAAATAGTAATATATAAACTATCTAGAAGTTGTGGTGTTACCTAATATGAATATGGACAATAAATTGTGTCCGAAACGTTATCTAGTAAATGATACTCTTTCACTGTGTGACATTTCTAGTAAACAGACTAAAATGGAATTACAATTGACTAGAGTGCCCAAGTTTTACTCCTATATTAGGGGACATTTTATTTTTCTCCACCTATGGTTTCCAGTGTGTAGTCTGTAGATTCGATTCATTCTTGATTCTGTGTCTATACTTTAGATCATCCCCATTTTTCTCACTGTGTTTAGTTTCCATCAGTATTGTGTTCTTATTTACTATTATGGTGTGGTTCACAACGCCTACAACTCAAGATCAGCTGATTAGTGTTTATATAATGTTACCAACACGTGACTATCATGTATCAGTTGAAGTCGTTAGTTCATTAGCTGGTTAGTTTGGTTGTTTGTTTGTTGTTACAGTGTCTTTGTTTTGTGATTATTATGCAGTGACTGAAGTGCGTGCACACTCACTTGTTCTGATGGTGATTTAGTTGTATTACTATTTTGTGTAGTGCACGCATAGATTGTTCTGTGCGTAATATTCATGGTTGCGTTAAAGCATGCGTTTTGCGTACTCGAATGGAGACACAATGTTCTTGTATTATTTATTTATACATTTGTTTGTTTAGATTAAATTGAATTGCTACCGATTATTTGTCGGTAAGATATGTGTGTGTGTGTATGTGTTCGTCCTGGTTCTGGGGCAAGCAAGCGCCCATGTATTTATGGATTATTTAGGTAACCATCGTTGTGCACATGTTGTCACATGGAAAAGTATAGTCAGTTTGATATAAGTAAACAATGAGTAAATGCTTTGCTTGTTGAAAATAAGATTTAGTCTCAGTAGGGACAAAATGTTTGAGTGCTTAGTTCCAAGAAATTTCTAAAAGGTTCATTTGCACTACTTTTGAGGCAATTTCAGAATGTTTGGGATGGGTTTCTCACCATCCAAATACAAATTGCTGCTCCAGGACTGGTCTTCAACAGTGCCTCGGCTAACAGTAGAGAGTGAAGTGGTTGAGTGTGTCGACCACTTCGCTTACCTGAGAAGAAGGATCAGCCCTGGTGGCTCAGTGGCCGATGAAATTTCTGCACGAATACAAAAGGCTCGGCTGACTTACGCCAACTTACTCCACCTGTGGCGCCACCGTGATATCCGATTGTCTATTAAGGGTCGTGTGTACTGCACAGCAGTCCGCTCTCTTCTACTGTATAGCTGTGAAACATGGCCATTGAAGGTGGAAGACACGAGAAGGATTCAGGTGTTTGACCACCATTGCCTTCGTAGTATAGGCCGTATTCCGTGGTGTCACCACACCACGTGAGTAATGCTGAAGTTAGGTGTAGAGTTTTAGAGAGAAGAGGTAAATCAGTTGACATGGATGTGTACCTTCATCGACTGAGATAGCTGGTTGGGACATATGTTACATATGCCTAGTCACCTATCGTCTTGTGACACAATGTTGACCGAAGTAGGTTGAGTCTGGAAAAAGGCTTGAGGTGGCCAGACTAAAGCATGACATGAGTGTATGAAGTGTTTGACTGTTTGATTGGGTCATGTGAGGCGATGCAGAGGTCTGTGGTTGAGGTTGAGGTCTGTGGGACAAGAGGAACCAGTCAGTGGTTTGAGACTGACTGTGGGTGATATGGCTGAGAACCGATGTCATTGGGTCAGATGTATACACACATTATCGTCACCTTAACGACGCTGTACCGAATCCCAGGATTTTCTCATTCTTCGTTTCTCTTTTTGGTAGTTTATATTTCTTT